GTGTGTGTGTGTGTGTGTATGTGTGTGCGTGTGTGTGTGTATGTGTGTGTATTCCTCCCAGCTGTCACGACAGCCACTTGGCTATGACGTTTACGGCACGGCCCGGGGCTAGGAACCCTCCCCGTGTTGTAACAATATTTCTGTGTTTGTGTTTGTGTTTGTGTTAGCTTTGAGTGTGTAGTTTTTGTTAGCTTTGAGTGTGCTGCTGTGGGTGGTTGATGGGTGCTCTGGTGCGGTTTGCTGCTTCTTCTTTCCTATCAAACATGATCTATCGTCCTTATCTCTCTCCTCCTTCTATTTTGTGTTTGTTACTCTCTTGTAACACATCTATTCTTCGGCTCTTATATATGACTTTATTGTGTTGCAAGTGCCGTAAAACTCTTATGAAAACTAAACTGGGCGTATTGCTGTACGCCCACGTCGTCTTCTGCCTTTGTCTCTGGATTCGTCACCAGATAGGAATTAGACAATAAATGTAAATAATACTTTGGGGATGAAATCATTGAGGGGGTGCCTTGTGTTGGAAAGTAAGAATTGTAATGTTTCAAGTGTCAATAAACGAGTCAGAAGAACCTACGAATAAAAGAAGCCACTGACCTTTGTAGTGTGTGGTCTTGTATTGTTCAAAAGTAATATTTCAAGTGTTATAAAAAGAAGCCACTGACCTTTGTAGTGTTTGGTCTTGTCTGTGACACCTGGACACGACCTCAGGCTACTGGTACTCTCCACTTCGAAGACTTTGCGCCCCCTGGCGGCGTCCCCCGTGGGTAGTTTGTGCGTCATGACGTTGTTGATCTCCACCACGTCCAGGATCACGTTGGCCAGCTTCTTGTTGAGCGAGCGGTTGATGCGGCGTTGTTGTTGTAGCTTCCTCTCCATCAACATCATCGTCCGGAACACGCTCGAGAAGTTGGCGCGGTACGCCTGCAGGGTCTGCTGGGCCGTGGACAGCAGGTTCTCGTGTCGCGACAGCGTCGAGTTGAGCTCCCGGCTCCGCACCATCTCGTCGATGAGCTTGGACTCGATGTCTTTGAGCTGCGAGTTGAAGCCCACGTTCTCCTCGCCCATGTCGCCAATGTCGTCTAAGTCTTCCCCGTCGAGCGAGTCCCGCCGGTCCCCGCGGTTAGTCCGGCCTGATGACGACGATCGTCCGTTGTGGTGTCTGTGTTTGTTCTTCAATGTCCGAGAACCCCCGGTAGACGTAAAGGTTTTGTCCGTGCCGCCGTGTCGTCTGGCGTGTGGCGTGATTCTCGTTGACCTTTCGTCTGTGTCCACGAGATAGCCGGGCCCGGAGCCGTCGGCCTGCGCGTGGTCGTTCATGGCCGGACATTTGGACACGTCGAACTCGTCCACAACCACCGTGTAGGAGCAGAGAGAGGTGCTGGCGGTGGCCGAGACACTACCCCGCGCCCAGCACGCCGGGGTCAGACAGTTCAAGGTCATGGCGGCCAGTGTCGCCACAAGTGTCAAGGTCACTCTGCGGGTGGGTGCCAAGGGGAGGCGATTCCAGATTCCTTCCATGGTTCGGGGGACAGTTCAACAAAAACACGAAGTTGTAAAAAGACTTCCTTCCGGTGACGTTAAGCCAAGGGCTTTGAAAGCACTTCCTTTTTAGAAATACACACTGCTGGAATAAATCCCGACTTTTGTGGTCTGTATATCCAAGCGCCTTCTAGCTGTTCCGATTCTTTCCTGTAGGAAACAAAAAGAACAAATTATTACATTTGGTTATTAAACCAGTCACGACCTCACAGCTTTCTTGCCCTATCTCCAGTTTTACTAACAGTGAAAACAGTTCCTAGAGTGAGAGTCAGCTGAAGAAGATGTCACATTTTCAAGTTTTAAAAAAAAGGAGGTAAAAGAGGAAACCGCTGACTTCGTGTTCTGATTTTAGCCTGAAAATGCCCTTGGATCCTTTTGGTCACTCCCATGGTCCAAATGCCACCCTCATATCGTAGATGCCTTTCCTGTCTCTTGTTGCGTAGGCTCTTCATACCCCGCAACACCCGTTCTAAATGTGTGCTCTCTGCTTTTGATTCTGGAATTCTACGATATGTCTTAACAGTGTAAATCTTTTTTTTAAAATTGTATTTTCATTGCAAGACTGTTTAGAATACTTACAGAAGCACACAAACAAACACACACACACACACACACACACACACACACGCACACACACG